ACTCCGGACATGTGAAGGCAAAGGTCTGAATACGTGGATAAATGGTGGCTCAAAAGAAACAGGTAATTGCACCGTCGCGCCCACGTGCTCGGCCGCGAGTATTCTCGGAGCATAGTTTAAGTTACTTCAGTAATTAATTTAATTAAACTAATTAAATTCATTAAGCACGTATTCTATTGTTACATTGTTGTTACGATTACTGTACGTGCACAAATCGTGTTTATGGTCCTCTAATTAAGTCGAGCAATGGGACAAAGTCCACGTGCGGCACAGTAGTCTGGGAATAAATCGACTTACGTGGCGTTCATATTGTTTCTTCTAATGCTGGAGATGTTTAAAAAATTTAATTTTTTTCAATACAGCAAGTTTATCACCGTTCTAGTTCATAGTCCAACTTTCTACTAGCTCCCCGTACAGCACGCGTGTCTGAGACATTTTTAAGTCGTCTTTTAGATGTACATATCTAAAGCTGACGGTAGAAAACGATCCGTAAACTCTCAAGGCTGTCCTAGTCGTAGACGTGAAGTCGTGAAAGTATTGTATACAACTTGAGATTTTCTCTGCCTTACGTCTAAGACAGTCTTAAGTGTTTATGCGGCGTCTACAATGAGATACTTGAGACGTAAGATTTAAGAAAGTGACCCGTCGCAATCGATTGTCAGAAGACTAATCAATTGTGATTGGTCATTTTCTTAAATTTGACGTCTTAGACATCTCGCCGTAGACACCGTATTACAGATCGTTCTCTGCTATCAGCCTAAAAGACGACTGAGAGACGTCCTTTAGACACGTGTGTTATTTGGGTCTGTAATTCCGTGAGCATATTTAATGGAGATTTCTTGCCCGATTATACAGAAAAAGGCTCAGGAGAGCATCAACACCAGATTGGCACTTGTCATGAAATCTGGTAAATACGTCCTTGGCTATAAGCAGATTCTCAAGTCCCTCCGCCAAGGCAAAGCTAAGTTGGTCATCATTGCCAGTAATACACCGCCGCTGAGGTGAGACTGAGAAGTAGCACTCCTTTTGCAACCAGCAAATTGACATGTTTAACAAGAATGCAGTTTCTCTTAAATCGATGGATTTGCTAAATTTATTATGTGACTTCCAATACGCAAATGTATTTGTACCAGAGAACTAATAGAGTGTCCAATTAAATCAATAGTTTACATTGAAATTGCACTGATAGAGTTTGGTGATATTGATACGATTGTCAATTTGCATATCATAAATCGAATAGGAGTACTATGGAGTCTCCTACCCCTGCTTGTAAGTGCACGGGGAACTGAACTGTATCTCGCTAACGTGCCGTTTTAAACGTGCTTCGTCCGGATTTAACAGGAAATCGGAGATCGAGTACTACGCGATGTTGACGAAAACTGGCGTGCACCATTACACGGGGAACAATATCGAATTGGGTACAGCCTGCGGTAAATACTTCCGTGTCTGTACGCTCTCGATCACAGATCCTGGCAATTCCGACATCATAAAGTCCATGCCGACTGGTGATCAAGCGTAATATACATTTTTAATCTAATAAATAACGAGTGAAAACATGTCGAGCGATTATTTCCAATTTATTTTCGCCCTTAAAATGCAGTATACATATATCTAAAATAATTCTCAATTGTATACAAAATAACATTTATATTAATTTATATAGAGATAAAATATTTGATATAACATGCTGTGTATATTTTGTTTAATATAGAGTTAAAACTTTTTGTACATAGATATTTGAAACTACTACTACCATTATTTAGTAGAAAATAAGTGAGCGATCACTGTAGATTCGCTACTGACCATTTTTACACCTGCTCGCGCATCGTTCTTCCAAATGATTCAGTTTATTACAATAACGGCATGTTCGACCCTGCGCCGGACACATGGTTGCCACATAACTCGCACCGCATCTCCAGCAATTGTTCATAAAGGGAATTTGGCACTTGGACGCGAAATGATATCTCTTGCCGTATTTTGTGCACAGTTCGCCATACGCTGGACAATGTGTCAGAACGTGACTCGTTCCGCATTTGGTGCAATTGTCTATGTACATAAATTTACAATTTTCCGTAAAGTGATTGAATTGCTTGCACCTGTTGCACTGGACGCCCCAAGCCGGACATTGATTTCGTTTATGCACGGTACCACATCGAATACATTCTAATGCAGTCGACTTGGCATAGTGAAAGTCCTGCCTCGGGGGTTCCTCCATATTTTGCGCCATTTCGCTCTGTTTGCAGAATAGAATAATATCGTCGAGCTCCAACGAACGCAAGTGCGGTATCAGTTTTCCTTTATATTCTTGGAGAAACGTGACTATTCCCGTGAAAAGTTGAGCACATATATCTTGTATAATTTTTTCCTTCACAACCAACGTGGGATCAACGCAATTCATTGCGATAGCGATGGACTGGAAAGATTAAATGTACAATTAACTACAAGAGAATTACGCATTTGAAGGTAAACAGTTATACATATACGTACTTTCAAATCGTTTATATATTTGTCGATGTCTTCGCAGTCTCTTTTTTCATCCCCGTATATGCAGTATATATCAAATTTTTTAATTAACACGCTTAAATCCTCCATCGGTTCGGTATCGTAGAAAACAAACGTTCTATGGATTTCTTGGCCAATGGGACCCATATGGTTCAGAAGCATGATGCCCAACATTTGTCTCTT